ACGGGCTTTCATGAATGTTCGGCCACAAGTGCATGCCGACATGATATCGCCGATTGTTGACCTGAACACCTAGCTCAAGTTAAGCAGCTTTGATTTAGTCTTTGGCACGTGTCTATCTCATCTCATGAACGTTTCACTAGAATGTAAATACTGTTCGAACACGCACTATTAGGGCTATGCATTTGACATTTTTATGAGTTAGTGGCTGATGTATCCTTGGCAGGTTCGCATGGCTTCTTATCTGTTCATGAATGATTCGAACCGTCGCTTTTTCTACAAATGAATAAATACTTATCTGCTGATTTCTTATTTATCTCATTCGTGTTCCAATTGTTTATTGAGCAGATTTTAAGTATGACGCCACACCTTGACATATTCAAAGCATGCTGATCCGATATTAACTTCATATCAACGAAGACAGGAGCAATACCTGTCATTGTTTGAATATCAGATAACAGGCATTGGTAACTCATACTTGCAAGCTTCACATGAGTACCCGATGAGCTGCATTTAGGTATGAGACAGTAGAAAGTATGCGAGCAAATCATCAACCAAGCAGGTTGGCAGATGAACGCGTCTTCCCTTGTGGCCATGCTGCCCGGGGAAGGTCGTAACGCTGGCACGCTTTGCTTTCTCTGAGCTCACTCACGTCATGCTGGAAAGTTTCACCTACGACTTACCATTTGAGTCAAGTTGCCCGAAGCAAAACAAGGGTTCGCGCGCTGCAATAACCCGATCTTTTGGTTATCAGCCGTAGTGCTGTATTCCACGTGGTTGGACGCTGATTTCTGCTTGCTGAATCTCTTTTGGGAGCCCAATACTTCATTGCGCATCGGTAATTGTGTATCTGGTGCAACGCTGGACTGTATTGGATCAATTCCCTTATTGAGTCGCTCGCTTGCGCGTCTGCTTCGTATCACTGCCACGGCGGCTCCAGCAGAAGGCCCTAGGGGCCAGGATTGGCATAAGCCGGCAAACGTTACCTTTTTCATCTGGCGCCTCACCCGGCCGAGTCGCGGAGGCCAGAGAGGCATTACTCAGTGGCTGGGAGAGGCAAAAAGGTGCCAATCCCAGTTTGATCAAGGACTCGTTGGACTTGAAGAGCTGGCCAACCGCAAAAGTTATCCTGATTTGGCGAGTTTCGCACAGAGCCAACAGCTTGACATTAGCACAGGGTTGCCAATAGACACGTCAATCCCTTCTGTGGACACTGGTGCAAGAGATTTGACTGGAGATTCCAGGGAGCGCACGCGCTCGCCACCGGGACCTAGTTCGTCAAGCTCCAGCTTGAGGCGTTTGGCCCGTCCACCACAGCCGCTGAGACCTGTGTTCGCGCCCGTTGCAGATTATTTCCGCATCTTTTGTTGGTCGGAGGGAAATCAGCAGTTCGAGGAGCAGACATCCTTTTTGCGGTTGCCACGGCCTCGCTCCAGGCACATTGCTCTCGACTTCAATTGGGTATTAAACACCAACAGCGGTGGACGACGTATCAAGAGCGGGGAGGCTTTGCCAGCTGAGAACGTCCAACTTATAAAGGACCTCATCGCTGACAGCCCTGACGATCGTGTTTGTATTGTCAGCCAGCTGGAAAACCCGACTCTATTGGCATCGCTGCTCTCATCGGTATCCTCCACGCCTGATCTGCCTAGTCTTCTTCATTGCATTGGCATAACCCCACGTAAAACGGGCCTTCAAGGCAAGACGACATTCTTGTCCCAAGTTGGCACCCACGTGCAGGATTTTTTGCTTTGCGACGATAATCCCGAGACTTTGGCAGAGCTGGAAGATCAAGGCGGTATTGGGGTCCACACCTGGTATAAACGCCGTGATTGGGCGCGAACCGGCATTGCTTGGGACACCTCACTGTCGAGTGCCGGTCGTCAGATCTTAGACCTCAGAAAAAGCGATGTCAGATTTTGAGGCCCGTTCCAGAAGTAGCCGAGGCATATCAAGCTCTGAGGTTTCTGGGAGTTCAGGTTCCAATCGACCTAATGTGGCTGTAGCTGCCCTTAGGCCGAACCCCCAAACCCAAAGCATCCAAGATTCACCTCAACAGCTTTCAAGTTTCCTCGGCAGCCCTGCCACGGAGGATCAGAGCCTTCAAGTAGCCATGAGCCCAACAAACGCGGTTGCCTCAAGCCCAGGGCCTGCAGGGACTGACAATCGAACAAACCCCAACAGTGCCTCGGTAGGTAGCGTGCCCGGTACTTTGCATATGGAAGCTCATCATCATCAGCACCTGCATCGTCATGAAACGAACCTCAATCAAACCCTCAACGTGAGTGCAGACCCAGCCTTAGTTCAGGAGGCCGTTGCAACACAGTATCAAGCCGCCTTATTGGTTGAACAGGCTAGGCGTGAAGTTCAGGGCACCCGTGATCAAGCACAATCCCTTGTGGCCCAAGCTGCCCAGGAAGTTGCCCAAATCAGAACTCACGCAGGCCAAACCTTGCAACAAGCCAACGAAGAGGTTGAGCGGGTCAGGCATCAAGCGTTGTTGAGGGCGCAAGAGGCAGAACAGGCAGCTGCTACGCATCAGCAAACCCTTGAGCAAGCCAAGTTGGAGTTCGACCGTATGCAACTTCAGATGGAACACCAACGCAGAGTCATTGAGACCTTACAGCGCGAAACCCAAACACTTCGTAATGCTACGGAAACTGCTCACTCCTTGAGGCCCCGCAGCCCGGGAGACGAGCCCCAACAACCTAAAGCTCCACAACTTCCTCAGTCAAATAGCCTGCTTAGTGCACCAGCCAACCTCCCGGTTTGGAGGGCCCAAACCGGGGAACCCGGGGATAGATCAATAAGGTCTCCTTCAGGGCATTTTGTCCAGGGTTCCGGCGAAGATATGGTGCCAAACAGCTCCCAGCCAGGGCAAAACACGCAATCGGCCCCTGAAGAATCGACCCAAGAACCAATGGAGAATTTCCCGGTTTCGAGGCCCGAAGCAAACCCGGGTTTTCGGCTCGAGAATGGGGGTTTGCCTTCAGGGCTTTTTGCCGGTAGTTCTGCAGTGGGTTCCCCGCCTTCAGTGCAGTCTGTTCGCCAGGATTTTCAGATTCACACCCCAAGGTCTCCGGGATCCCACGCGGACAAAACAACCCAATCCCAAATCGAACTCCTCACCGCCCAAGTCCAGTCGCTTGCAATGACACTTCATGCATTTCAAGTGGCAGGGAATGTTGGCATTTCTGCCCTTCCCTCCACTTCTCAAGCAGCTGCAAGCCGCCAGACGCAACAAGGCAGGGACAAGGGTTCGGATACGGGGGTTAGACGCGGTAGACCCGGGGGAGACCCAGGCTCCTCAGACTCGTCATCCTGCAGTAACCGCAGTTCTAAACGTGGAGGCGGAGATCCGGGTAAAGGTTCACGTTCCCCTGCAAAGAAGTCATCTAGCTCATCATCTAGCTCATCTTCTTCAGATTCGAGTAAAGACCCGTACAAGAAGGAGAAAAGGCTCATGAGAGTTAAAGGTTACGACACACTCAAGATCCCTGCAATCCCAAAGAACGCAGCCGAAGCGCGAGGGTTTAGAAATGCGGTTTTTAGTGCAGTAACCAAGCTGGCCAAGGGGGACGAATCGCAGATCCTTGCTTGGATCAATCTTGCACACACATCGCAGGATGAGAAAGACTTTGATGCTTCTGGTGGCAATTATCTTGCTTGATCGGCTTTTGGGACATAAGTTATTGGAACTTGCTCGGGGTACCAAATTCAGCCTAGACTTTCAAGCCCTTCAAGAGAGCTCGCAAAAGCTTGGCAAGCAGCCCCGTGGCAGATTGCTCCTTTGGCATGTGTTCCAGAAGTATAAGATGGAGAAGGATAGGGGCACCGCGTTGACTCAACACCATCTTCTGTCCTTGGCTTTGCATGGCAACGAAGTGAAGTCCTTAGAAGACTTTAAGCAAAGGTTCAATTACATCTTTGAGGCCCTTGAAGTCGCTGAAAGGCCTACTGAGGCGAGTCTTCGCAGTCTCCTTTTCGAACAGCTGAAAGGCCACCCCAAAATGGCCCTGCACATTGATCGTTTCCGCAATGCCCATGCCGGGTCCAGTAAGCGTACATGGCGTTGGCTTTACGACAAAATGTGTGAAGTGATTGAAATCAGCCAACTTGAGGAGGATGCTGAGGCCATTGACAAAGCATTGAAGCCAAAATCGTTGCATGCAAACCCCGCTCCACCAAAGGATGAAGCTGCCAGAGGCGGGAAAGACAAGGCTCAAAAGGACAAGGAGAAAAAGGATAAGGAAGAAAAGGAGCGAAAGGAGAAAGAAAAGAAAGACAAGAAGAAGGAGAAGGAGCGTGAGAAAAAGGAGAAACGAAAGGAGGAGCAACGACAGAAGGATGAAGCCGCCTCGTCGAGTGCCCCAGCCGCCCCAGCCAAAGGCAAAGGCAAAGGCAAAGGCAAAGGCAAAGGCAAAGGCAAAGCAACTCCGCAGCAAAAGGAGCCAATGACGAAGGAACAAAAGGCGAAAACTCCTTGCATGTACTTCGCGTACGATGCCTGCACTGCCGGAGACTCCTGTGAATTCCTGCATGACCGGAGCAACCTTTACAAAGGTCCAAAGCCGCGCCGTCTCAAATCCACGACCGCGGGCGCTGCGTCCGTAGCGGCCGGAGCCGCAACGGCATCCGTGCTACCAACCTCCGAAGCTGCTCCTTCCCAAAACGGTACCGGTTGTGGCCCTGCTGCCCGCCAGTACTGTGCTGGAGAAGCGAGCCGAGAGGCGAGTGCAGTCAGAAAGCGCGTGGAGAGAGTGGGCCGTAGTCTTCAGAAGAACAACGCCTTTAAAGGTAGCATGTTTACGAGGGCTTTCACTACAATCATGACGGCCATGGCGCGCTTGGACCCAAGGTCCCAAATCAATGCTGCCCCCGGTTTGCTAGGGGTTGGGAACAACACTTCAGCGGAGGTTGAGTTCCTGGTTGACAGTGGTGCCGGTAGGAACCTGGTGTCAAAGCGTGTCCTCCCAGACTCCATGCATTCTCAGTTCGGTGAGGCCCCCGAGAAACTCACATTTGAGACTGGAGGAGGCCCAAGGTCTGGAACGAAAGCTGTTAGACTTCAGAGCGAGGCGCTGGGAAGCAATGTATTTTACGAGCTTCCAAAATGCCCCCCAGCTGTATCGTTGGGGATCCAAGTCAACGAGCATCACAAACCTTTTGTTTGGCTACCTGGTGAGTTGCCGTTCTTTGTCAAACCCGAAAAAGTTGGTGACCTGACGTTGCACTGCCCGGAGTCTGCGAAAGTCCGAGTGGACAGGGTTGAGCAAAACGTTCCAATCCTTAAACAAAGGGTTTCCTGTGCTCCGGCTTCTGTGCCACCTCCAGAGGTCCCGCCGGCTCCTCCCGAACCGTCTTCATCATCATCATCAGATCCTGCGCCTCAGTATTTGCGTAGACGGCATGTTGCGAAAGGACCGCCTGCACTTGCCGATCCAGACCCGGAGGGTACTAAGGACATCAAGGCTCCAGAAGGTTTGAGGCTCAAACCAGACCCATCACTGCCCAAGTTTGGTAAGGAGGATGAGCTCTCGCAGTGTGTAGAGCCCGCTCCTGCCGAAATCGACGCTCCATTGGATAGCGACGATGAGCATCCATGGACCCCTGACCTGAGAGAAAGGCTCATTGCAGAGTCCAAATCCCTACTGCACCAACTCACGCATTTCCCTAAGAACAGGTACTGTGAGATCTGTCGCAGGGCTAAGATGACGGGTAGAGTGCACAGGTCCAGAGGTAAAGAGGGTGATCCCGAAGAGACCCCTCCGTTGCATTTCGGGCACACCATGCGGGTTGAACACATCGTGTTGGGGGAAGACTTCACAAAAGGGTCTGAAGGTGAGCAAGCCTGCCTTATAGCTTATGATGAGTACAGCGGGTGCATTGGCGCATTTTCGCAAACAAACCGCACAACCGAAAACAACATCGCCGCATTACAGAAATTCGGTAGGACAAGAGCCCATGGTAAAGCCTTGTGCACGGTTAAATCCGATTGTGCCCCTGAGGTCACGGAAGCTGTGAAACATCTTGGGTGGCTCCCCGAGCCCGGGATACCCAACGATCCCTATCACAATGCTCAGCTAGAGAGGCTGGTAAGGACCATAAAGGAGGGTACGAGAGCCGCGCATCTCAAGGCAGGTTTCCCACATGCTCTGTGGCCAAGGTCAATAGAGTACTTCTGCGCAGCCCGGTCTTTCACAACACCGTGCCCAAAGCACCCAAACGATGCACCGCACACAATCGCCTTCAAGGAAGGTAAGACGTGCTACGAAGCAGCCAATGGTGGACAAGCCTTTGACGGTCACCGCGTCCCCTTAGGCGCGCTTGTCTACTACAAACCTGCAAACCATAAAGATTTGCCTGCATTTCAAGCCAGAACATATCCAGGCATCTTTTGTGGGTGGCGGTTAGATGCGGGTTTCAAGTTCAGAGGGGTGCACTTGGTGTTGGATTACGAGTCGTTGCAGAACGATGCCAAAGGCTGTGGGAGACCAATCCAGGTTCATGCCACCGAGCTAGTAGTTCCAGAAACCTTCGTTTTCCCAATGTTTGAGGCCCAAGTTGAGCGACTGTCTCTGTTCCGCTCTGGCGCGATGCTCCCTCCTATCGACACGCAGGAAGCCTTGCCGTTCGAAGAGGGCGCGCCGGAACCCAGAGCCCGACAGAGGAAGACGTACATCACGCTAGAAAGGGCCCTCAGATTTGGCTACACCGTCGGTTGCAAGGGATGCGACAGAATCGGCGAGGGTGTTAAGCACACAGATGCGTGCCATGAGCGCTTCCGGAAGCTCCTTGAGGACGAGGCCTTAGCCAAGAAAGCACGGGAGGAAGAGAAAGCGAAAGCCGAAGCTTCCACTACCCCGAGTTTTGAGGCCTCAGCTCCACCACCTGTTGTCGAACCCAAGGCCGTCGCACCTGTTCCCAGCGCTTCCAATGCTATTTCTCGTGTGGCTTCCAACTGCCCTGAGAAAGGCGGAAGCGCATTAGAAGAACATGAGTTAGACTATTGGGTATTCGACAGGGACAGGGTCGCATGGAAACGCGTTCATGTCAAACCGCGCAAGAGATTGTACACACCTGTAGGCCGCTCTTGTCCCTTCAATTCCACTGAGCTTGTCCCAGCGCGTGAAACGCAGTGGAAGTGCAAGGGCCGCGTCTCCAACTTTTCCGATAGTTGGCATGACAAGAGCCCGAACCGTAGGATCTCATCCAAAAGTTGGGTAGGTGCAACATGGTTCTTTCCCAAGGGTGAAATTGATATCGCTCAGGCAGAACTTGATACACTCAAGGCCAATGCAGCCGAGCAGTTGAAAAGATCGCCTGTCAAGGGGGGCGCTGCTGTTGCATCCATCCTGCAAAGCTTGGAGACTGAATGTCCTGAGGCTAAGGCTATGGTTGCTGAGACATCCAAAGTTGTGAAAAAGGAGTCTGAAGGCACTTCCGCCCGCAACCACAAGCTGAGACTGCCCGGACAGGAAGTCATGTTTGAGTTTTGCTGCGACGAGAACTCAACGTTGGGTCAAATTTGCGACGAGTATGAAATAGATCATTTTCGGTTGACCGAGAAAAACTCAGACGTGTCACACCCAAAGCAGATAGAGTCTCTCAAAAAGCTCGTTACTTTGTTTCCCGGTTGCGACCTGTGGGGTTCAATACCGCACGGCCCTTGGAGCCACTGTCCAGGTTTGAGCCGTAACAAGATAGGGCCGCTGGAGAAGGAAAGACTGCGCAAGCAAAGGGCGCGTTCACGAAAAATACTCCGGAATTTTATAGCTGTAGGTGAGATAGTGTTGAACCACCAAGGGGGTCATGTCAGTTTCGAATGGCCTCACGATTGCTACGGATGGGCACTGCCAGATTTAGCAAGTTTCATTAAGCGCCACAACCTCTACGAAGCAAGCCACGGTACGGTCGACAAAGACGACTCCCCTAACCTTCGAAGGTTGCGAGTTGTCACGTCTTCCTGGAAGCTCGCAGAAAACCTGAGCGCGAAGCGATGCCACCGCCTGTCTGGCTCCACTCGCAGCAACACCGAAGGGTCCAAGAAGAGCTCAACTGCTCTCTACCCTAAGCCCACGGCATACACAATCATTCACAGCTTGTATCCCAGAGTCTCTGCAGAATGCCCTTCAATGCCCGTAGTTCCTTTTGTCCAGCACGCTCACAGTTCACGAGACAAAGGAGAATCTGTCTATGCTGCCATCCATCAACCCATAGACCGCAAAGACTGGCACAAGCACGCTGGAGCTCAAGAGTGCATCAAAGGCGAAGCTCAGGGCTTGATCTCTAACGGAACGTGGGACTACACGAACGTGGTTCCCCGTAAAGACCTTCTCGCTAGGAAGGAGCCCTTGAACATAGGCCGCCTGATGACCCTGCTCAGCATCAAGCATTTTGAGGTTCCAGAACTCAGAAAGCTGAAAGCCAGGATAGTCTTTAGGGGAGATGACATCCGTGATGAGTCGGATAACCTAGCAATCCTGCAAGAGCTAAAGGTTAATCCTACCGGTTTGATAGGCATAAACTTTAACCTCGCGTACGGGTCCGTGAAAGGCCACCAGACAACTCAGAGTGTCGTCAAGGCATACACTCAATCCGATCTAAACACTCGAGTTCCGACATGGGTCGAATTACCGCGGGAATTAACACCTCCCGAATTTCGACATTTGGAACGACCGTGCGTTCGCCTGTGGAAGAGCCTATACGGCCATCCAGAAAGCGGCTATCACTGGCATGAGAGGTTTAGTACGATTATGCAGGCGATGGGAGGCGAACATTCGGACCTGTTTCAATCTACGTGGTTCTTCAAGCACACTAGGCAGATGTTAACACTTTATGTCGATGATATTGTGCTTAGTGGACCGTCAATTGGTCAGGCAGAGTTCTGGCAAGAGTTGCAACGACATCTTGAGCTGGAAGAGCCGGGACCAGTGGATCGCGTACTAGGTCGAAAGCATGTCATCAAACGCGGCGATGTCACCAAAATGTATCACAACATGGCCGAGTACAGCGCTAATGCTTGCTCTCTGTATGAGGAGCTGTCCGGAAGAACGCTCAAGCCAGCCTCCACTCCATATGT